TAATTTCACCAGCACCCTTACCCTTCACAACCGGAACACAGTAATGTGACCATTACTGCTTGGCGGCAGAAATAGGTAAGGTGGCAGTACTTCCCTGGACGAGCTCTTTCACAAGGAGCTCTACTGCTACTATGAGAGTGTGCAATGGAATTACACCATTTAATTCTACCTTCCCCTTCCCATACTCGTGGAACCAGATGGATTGTGGATATTCCAAAGATTCGCAAGAAGCGTTATGCTTCCACATTAATATGGCGAACAGCTTTGGAGTGGAATTCCCTGCCTGCAGATTTGTTCCCTGAATGTTATAACTTGGACCTTTTCAAGGCGAGAGTGAATAGGCATTATTTAGGTGTACATGCTCCATCACTTTCCATCAGATAAGATGGAGGTCAAATGCGCACTTACACTTAATAAAAAAAAAAAAGTAAAGTAAAATAACATTAAAATGACAGTAAATGTACATTTTGTACATTTACTGTCATTATCTTGTGATATTATAGAGAGAAGAGCATTCATTCTCCCAGATTAATGATGAAATTCTAAATTGTGCTTTTTCATATATTGAAAGAGAAATGAAAAAACAAACCATGCTAATACAAAAACAGAGCATCATAATAATAGTAGTGCAAGTTCATAATATCACTCGCCCAATGCTACAATTGATAACATGGCATGAATCACTCACATTAATAAATAATAATGGAAACTCTTGCCTGCTGCTAAGACAACCATTTACAGCAATCTCTTTTATTTTACGCAATGTACTCTGAAGTGTAGCTATTGTTGCAGAAACTCCGTAATGCAAAGTGGGTATTATTGTTATTAGGGTTGCTTGGTGTGATAAGGACCACTGCGACCAACAGCTGATCTTTTGTGATCACCACTAATTACAGTTCGGAGCCAATGCTGACAGCATTGAAGAACTGAAGGACTTTCCTGATTCTGAAAGATTTATGTCCTCTGATTGTGGCATGTGTCTTCCCAGTATGGTGCTTTGTACACACATTAGGGCGCATTTATTTGACACGTATTTCATCACGCTCACCCCGCATGGCGGCCGTGCGGTCGCCACTGCCATGGTAAAATACGCTCTATTTGTTTAGCTTTTACATTTTAACTTAAATGAGCATCACGGTCACTCAGGCGAGTCCGGCTTGAATTTGGTCTAAGCGGCGACCCGTGTGGCTGTTGTAATATTCAGAGGAATTTAAATATTGTTGCCTAGTAAATAGAATTCAGATTCACCATTAATGTACATGAAGGGGTGGTAATTGGGCGACAACCTTTTGCCTCATGTAACTGGGCGCTTAGGGGGTTAGCATATGTGAGAAGACCAACAGGAGTTTCATCTGCCTCATGGCAGAATCTACACTCTTTTCTCTGTGCCCATCCTGTGTGACATCAGACTACCTGGAACTCAGCACAGGACTACTTTATTCCTTTCCCTGAGAGCATGCATAGTGAGTACCTTGGTGCCATAAGTTTTCATGGCTTGATCAGCAAGCACGTTGAGTTTGTCGCGGTACATTTGTGCCACACGCGAACTGTATTTCTGTCGTGCATCCTCTGTTGCCAGCCCGTGTGATCGGAAGAACTGTGTCTAGAACAGGAATAAACACAATTAACACACCAGTACAAGAATGTTATAGCTATTTTTTGGTCTATACTCAACATACAGTTGTTTTGCCAATTTTTAGTATTTACTGATGTTATTCCAAAAGGAGATTTACTGTTTTAACAAGTCTTCCTTGATGTGACAAGTTTCAAAATAATACTTTGTTAATCTTTCACATTACTCAACAGTACAGTACAGTGCAGGTCTGGGGATGTACTGAAAGTAAATGGGATAGGAACATGTGATGGATAACACAATATGGTCGTGGAGAATGAAGCATACCGCGTTGCAGTTTCCGCCGAGCTGCATGTTGCGAAGCTGCTTCCAAGTCCAATTGGTGTCGAGCTGAGTGGACCGCACGAACGAAATGTGCACGCCAAGCCCACGGTGCACCGCCGAGCAGTCCAGACAGATGAACACCCCGTACGTCACCGACGACCACGTAGGGTTCTTCGCGTTGCAGTCGAAGCATACCTGTCAATACCACAGCGCACTCGTTATCACTGAACGTACGTGGTGCCATACTTTCCCCATCCAATGATACTAACTTTATTCGCTGGAATTGACCGCAACCTCTGGAAAATTGCTTCAATATCGCTCTTTGTAGGCCCCGAGTCAGCCATTTTCGACGTGTTGTCAAGGTGTCATATAAACGTCAAACGAACTTTACGTAGGTATAGAGATGTAATTAAAAGTAGTTATCTATCCAGTTGTACATACTTTAGGGTTAAACCTTATAAAAATATAGCCTGGTAACAAGACGCTTAAATACATACTGGTAATTTAGAAATATCACAAATGTTATTGAGAGGTTTTTTTGGAGAGCCTGTTTTTTGCGTTTAGGTTGCTCAAGTTTGCATTTATTCTTTTAGTAGCAGTGAAATGAATACTTTGTAATACCTGTACGTACGTACGTACATACATGCATACTGGTTGTTTTAACTTATTTTTGATCATGGTGCCACGGTAAAGAAAGGCATTATTCACGAGACTCGAGATAAGAAGACATGGGGAATAGCGTTACATTTTTATCGCCGTGACCGTCGTTCCGGTTCCAAAAAAATCACGGCGATAAATCACCGTGATTTTGTCACGACTGTTACTTCCGTGACCTTGTCACGCCTATAACTTACATCACGATATATGGTTTTAACCAGCGGCTTCTTTCTAATATTTATAGCCGTTTTTTATGGAATGATTTAAGTTTTTATTCCCTTTGTAATAAGTTTCAAATCCATTCAAAAAGTTGATTTTGTATTTAATATAATTTTGTTTCATACTTATTTTATGCGAATCTTTGGATTGTTAAAAATAGTAATAAAGTGTAATGTCTATCTAGTAGAATACACAAAGTAGATTATACATAAATATAATAATAATAATAATAATAAAGACTTTTATTTCAGAACTTATAAATTCCATATATTGTTAGTAAAAAAGAACTTAAAACACACTATGTAATACACTATGTAATATATAATACACTATAAAATACTAACTCTTCCTATGATAAAACAAATATTCAAAAATATTTTACTTGTTAATGAATAGGTTTATAGTAACTGCTACAGATTTTTTTCATCCGCCCTTTCTAGTAGTAATAAGCACCTACGACCCTTGTGAGTGAGCAAAGAAAGTCATCCTATCTCACTCACTCCCACCGCCAAAATGGCCCGATTATCCGAACTACAACGAGTGGCGCGCTCAGTCACCACGGAACGGAGATCGCGCATTGTATCAAATAGGTATGTCGTGATGTGAGAGACGGGGATAGCTATTGGAACGGGAGAACACCTATGTGACTTTGGAACACGGTGGTACTGTTTGATGGCGGATCACCGTGATTTTTTCATCGTGATGTTATTTATCACCCACCTCTAGAGACAAGTGAATATGACAAATCCGCACGTGTATCAAACGACATTTTTTAATGCATTTGCGAAAAAACTAGATTGAAAGTAAAATAAAAGAGTATTTAGAAAAAAAACTCGTATTTCTTTGTCTGACGAAAATTCAGTAATGGGCGTGACCGGCGGATTAGGCTTAAAATTATTCTTTCAACCTCACTTTCATCCGTATCTAATAGTACAAATGATCCCAGGGACTTGTTACAGATGGATTGAGTGCTTTGTAGTTGAATTTTTTGAGCCAGATTTTTACCTGCGTTTACGAAAAAATCATTTGCGCTGTTAGCAGATATCAGCTCAGATGAATGGGCTTTCAATAATCCTAAAGATGATTCATGCTGTTTTGATGTATATATTACATTTTTTATATATTTCCAAACTTTTTTACTGTCTGTGCCAGCTTTGTCTAGAATATTAAGAGCTAATCATAGAAGGTCGAGGCAGTCATCATTAGGGAGGTCTCTGCTGTGTTTGAGGAGTTACCTAAAGCACAGCCATTAGGAAGAGTAGAAGGACAATATCTAATAATATTGATTTGTGCTTCTCTGTCGTAACCAGTGTTGGGCGTTAATCAATTAAATTTCAATCAGAAATTCAATCACATTAAAAAATCAATTCAATTGAATTGATTTTAATTGCAATTAAATGAATTGAACTTATTTTTTTTAGTTGTTCTAAGAAACAATTGAAACTAACATTTAAAACAGAAAGTACCGAATAAAAATGTCATTACGAATATTTTTTTTATTTAGTTAGGGGGTGGGTTAGGGGTGGGTTAGGGGGTCGTTTGGAGGGTCGTTTGGGGAGCCAGTTGGGGGGGTCGGTTCGGGGGCAGGTTGGGGGCCGGTTGGAGGGCCTTTTGGTGGGTCGGTTGGGGGGCCGGTTGGGGCCGTTTGAGATACCAGTTGGGGGCGATCAGGGGTGAGTGACCCACCCCTTAACCCAACCTACCCGCTCACCTACCTACTCACTCACCCGCTCACCTACCCACTCACCCGCTCACCCACCTACTCACCCACACACTCAAACCCACTCGCTCACCCCCTAACCCACCTTCTAACTCACCCCTGACCCTTCTAACCCACGCCCAAATCCACACTCTAACCCATCTCCTAACCCAACCCTTACCCACACTCTAACCAACCCGCTGACTCACCACCTAATCAACCCCTAACCCACCCCCTAAGTCACCCTCTAACCCACCTCCTAACTCACCCCTAACTCACACCTAACCCCCCAATCCAAACCCTAACTCACCCCTAAACCCCCCCCATACCCAGACCCTAAGTCACCCCCTAACCCACCCCCTAACTCATCCTTAACACACCCCCTAACTCACTCCTAACCCCAACAAACCAAATCCTAACCCCCAACCCAAATCCTAACCCCCCTCAACCCAAACCCTAACCCCCCAATCGAAATCCTAACCCACCCCCTAACCCACGCCCTAACTCACCCCCTAGCCCACCACCATTTTTTTTTGACGGGGGGAAATCTTTATGAATATCCCTGAGCCCAGGGAGACTCAGGGGTTATGTGGGGACTCTCCCTCCAGACTGGAGGACCCACCCCACTAAACACCCCCCCCCCGAGTTTCTCTCTCGCCGGTTGAGTCGGCGCCGTGGGATCGGTGAACATGAGTCCCTGTCCAGAGCCCGCTGGCCTCACTAGGGGATCAGGCGAGGGATCAGCGAACTGCCTTCGCCTTCTGAAGCGAGTGCGCGTCCGCCGCGTCCTCGCGCACTCGCTCCGCGGCCTCCTTTTGCGACATAACCTCTGCGCAAAAGGAGGCCACCGCCTGCCAGGACCCCTCGCTACCGAGGATGGCGGCAACCACCCTCGGCAGCGAGAGGTCCTGCCCTACAGTCCCCGTCAGAGTGCGGCGCTGCCCATCCCGCCGGCTGCACACCTCTAGGGTGTGCTGCGCGGTGTCATCTGCAGCGCCGCACTCGTGACACGACGGGGACGGTTCCCTCCTCGCCACCTTGTGCAGGTAGTGACCGAAACACCCGTGCCCAGTCAGCACCTGCACAAGGTGGTACGACAGTGGCCCGTGGGACCGGTTTACCCACTCTACGAGGACAGGGCGGATCGCCTCTATGGTACGAGCGCCATAGGGGGGATCGGCCAAGCCCTCTTTTCACCGGTCTTGCACGCGCTACGCCGCGAGGCGGCGCTCCCGCTTGACCTCTTGGGGAGCGGGTCGCTCGCCTCGGTTCCTCATTCCCCGCCGGTAGGTGCGGACCTCCGCCAGGACCTCGCTAGCCCACCACCTATCCCACCCCTAAAATTAACCCACCCCCTTGCATTCGCCGATGACATTAAGATTTTTGACCGAGTTGCAAGAATTGAAGATTGCGGAGCTCTACAAAAAAATTTGGATATTATTGCCAATTGGTGTATCGTCAATCATATGTCACTCAATGTTAGCAAGTGTCAGGTGATATCATTTACGAAAAATAGGGACCTCTTGCGCTTCAACTATAACATACATAGGTCTACTCTTACCCGAGTCCAGACTGTTCGTGACTTAGGAGTATATTTTGACTCTTTTCTAACATTTCGGCCACATTACGGCCATGTTTGCAGTAAGGCAAATAAAATGCTGTTCTTTGTACTCCGACACACTAAACCATTTTAAAATGTAAAATCGTGGGTCATCTTGTATGGAGCCCTAGTCAGAAGTGTCTTGGAGTATTGCTCATCGGTTTGGTCTCCTGTATATACAGCCACATAGATAGGATAGACGCTATTCAGCGCAGATTCCTACGAGCTTTGTCTGTGAAATGTGGTACACGTAAAACAATACGGGAATATGATGATCGCTTGCTGATTGTGATATTTTTAACTGCGGTATCACCTACTTTTAAGAGGTCACTTCTTGTATCGTTGTAAGGTAAATAATGTATTCTTTTTGTTTTGTTTTTTTTTTATATAATAATAATAAATTTAGCGTAAGTTTAAGTACTTTTGAATGTTGAGCATAGTTAGAATTGGGCCCAGATATGCCTACTGTATTTATTTTTAGTGTTTTTATTATATTATATTTTCTTGGAGCAGTTATTTACTAGTTTATATTATAGTGTAGACACTAGTTTTTTTTCACAAACATCATTTTAGTTTTTACTAGAAGCGATCATTATTACAATAGCACATAATGTATAATTAATTATCGAACAACTGTCTAAACTGCTGCTGTTATACTGCTAATCTGCTGTTGCTTTGCATCGTGCATGCGTCACACGAACAAGCAAATTTTATGCAATAGCCAATTAATAGCTGTGAGATAAAAATGGCGCTAATCAAATGATAGCTATCGTCGTAGCATCGGTTACGATTTGCAAATCTTACGTTTATAGTCTTTAAGTGGACATCATAAAGTTCTCTTTCTCATTTTATTGTTGTCTATTATCCTATTGTCATACGTGTTTATTTTTAAAATACTAACAACCTCGTGGGACAATATTACTCACATTGTAAACAATAACCTTTGTCCCTTGACTTTTAATAATTCATCAGTTTTTACTATCACACAAAAGTAAAAATATTTAAATTGATATCTCTAAACAATGATTACTCTGATTTAGCTTGACCTTCAAGGTCAATGGCATTACCAAAAACAAGTTAAAAAAGTGTTAGTGATAGCGTAAGTAAATAACGGGGGTGAGGAGAAGGTTGTTCACCTTGACCTATTTACCTGTAAGTTTAGTTAGACAGTCTAGCGCCCGCGCGCGTCGCATGTATGTGTATCGATCGATGTTCTAATGTCGAGTACTACTTGCTAGCTGTGATGAAAATGTGTCCGAAGCTTGAATGAATATGTAAGATGGTTCCCAACGTACTATCTAGTTTTCTCTATATCTACAATATCTAGATATTATAGATAGAGAAAAGTTTGTAGAACTGGTGCCAAAAACAGCCTTTTTGTTTTGGTTTATTGGTTAATGGTTGTAGTTAACAACAACAATAGCTTTATAACAGTAGCAGTTTGTTTTGTGGTGAACTACATTTCAATTCGCGCGCTCGCAACTCACTCACTGTCACTGTGAGACAGCACGCAAGCGCCGCCGACCAATAAGAGAACAGAGTTGAAAATATGGTAATGTCATGGCGGCTTCTTTTGTGAAAACTTTGTATTCAAAACTTATGAACAAATCTTGGGTAATTTTTGGACAATATACAAATTACCAAGAACCCGACAACTTCGTTGCGTTGACACAATTACCCCCATTATATCCCAAATAACTGGTTATTAGACATGGGACTGACGGCTGTTTGTCAATAATGAATTATTATGAAAATTGCCTTAAAAAATTAAAATTTCTAACATGTTACCCAGAAGATGAAAAGGTACGAGTGTAAGAAATGTAACCAGCTGGCAACACTACCTACACAATATTCATTCGTTGATTCGCATAGCATTGTCATGTAGTAAAACTACAAAACAACGACCGCGGTACAAGACTACAGTTTACAATAACAGTTATTGAAATATCGCATTTCTAAATTCATTATTTCGTATATTGACAAACAGCCGTTATTGCATGTTAAATTTCATATAAATGCGGAAAAGAGACACACATATAAAAGACCATGCAAGCAAAAGAGATTAATAATACAATTTTGTTTTACGATGACATTAAACTCTATCTTGTCTACAGTAAGCTAATGTCGGAAACTCCGAAGTTTGTGAAGAGCTATTTTTCGCTTTTTTAATGTTGATAAATTTTATTTTTGACCGTACGAGAGCTTAGTACATAGCGGAGCTTATTTTGTGAAATAAGTGGATGTGACGTGGTATGAAACTGATTAAATGTAGGGATTTAACGGACGCTGTCGGGCGGGACCTCGGGTAGCATCTCGCTAGCGCTCATTATGTTGACGAGCTAGCCTTCAGCTTGAGTGAAAGTTGCCGAGACTTCTTCGTAAGCAAGGTGAAAATGCATACGCGACTGGTGCAGTAGGGGGGAGCGTGGAAAGTGCTCGGTAAGAAACGCAAGGTGCCGCGAACCAGAGATGGAAAACCTAGGCGGCGAGGAGATAGAGCGCGCACTCATGGACCTTGGGCCGCTGCTCGGCGTCTCCATCAAAGAGGAATTGCCCGACGACACCACGGATACCGGCGCGCCTACTAACAATAATGTGAGTTCCTTATTCAGTTGCAGAGTTAAGCTAGAAAAATGGGATTAATAGTGAATTTTTTACATGCATTTATATTTTACAACGTTATTGTGTTTTTTGCAACTTGCATTCTTGCACACTTTGCATCTGAAACATCAGATTTAAAATGTCTTAAACAGTAATAACAACAATGTTAATCAACATGTTTAGAGGTTACGCAGTCCCCCAGCTGGTCAAAATGTACCACTCTTGTTTCTGTTTAACCCCTCCTCCCTCATCTCCATGTCATGCGTTGCTGATAAATTGTCCAATGCTTAAAGTAATGGAATTATAACAAGTCTTAGGCTACTCTAGAGGGTAGTCATTTTTTTAAATATTAACACAATGTATACAAATTTTCCTGGTTTGCTTCTAAGGTTTCAATTTGTGAACTGTCAATGGGCCGCGCATCAACACTATGGTGAATTAATAACTTTATTGTCTTGCAAAACAAACCATTGAAAGCTTTACAGTCTGCAGTGGACCATCCTGAATATAGTAAATTCAAATTCAAATTCAAAATAATCTTTATTTCATAGGTAAGCATTATTACACTTGAAATCGTCACAATATTAAACTCTACCGCTCATTCGTAAGGCAGATTCCCCTGAGAAGAATGAGCAAGAAACTCTAGGGGTTGCTCTTTGTAAATAACATTTACAATATTTATTTTTTTTATTTGAAACATCAGAGATTGAGACTACCTCCATGAGCTAAACGGGTTACTACCACGGATTTTTGTCATCCAAGTACGCAGAAGTTGTATTGTAACAAATGGGATGGTTCTGTGTGTACCTTCTGTCAATAACATAACACTAATTATTCTAGTAGTGAATTTGATGTGTACAAGTGAATGTAGTTGAAACTGACTAGAAAAGGTAATTTGCTAAATACATAATATTGATATTGTATTCTTTTATTTGCACCCAAGAAGTCAATTAACCCTAGAAAGATAGTCTTAAAAATTAATATAAGGGTGTCCCGTAACTCGGCGATAACCTGAAAACAGGAAGTTGTCTAGTTTGGAATAACCCAGAAAAATGAAATAAAAATCGGAGTCATGTTTTTTTGTGATATAAACATTTTAATGAAAAATGTTAATTAAAATTTGCTAATGTTGCTGTTCTAGTTTTTGTAACTAAATAGCCCACGTAATGAACACAATGTCAAAGAAAACCTGAATTGTTAAAGTATATGTTAAAAAATAAGTGTTAGATTTTTTATTAAAATTTTTAGCAGATTTTTTTTAAGGTAACTTTGACACTCCATACTGTAAAAAAAAATGTACCTAGACTACCATGGCAACTTCTTACAAAAGTTG